TCTTTCTCTTGTCCGTTCGAGGAAGAACGGTTGTGTTAGAGGTGGAGAATGTGACGACCCAAAGGGTCATCACCTGTATTCCTACTCACTCTGTATCTCTGAGGCCGTGAAAACCTCACTTGGAGGTTGCCTCAAATTTGAGTGCGCAGTCCGGGCGCGTAGCCGGAACGTTTAAATATGAATTTGTGAGAAAGATAATAAAAATTTTGATGTTTTAATTGATTACGTTTGACTTCGGTCAATATTTTGGGCAAACGGACCCGGACTCGTGATTCGACAGTCCCGGAGGATCCGTAGGAAAATATGAGACTTGGGGGTGTGCCCGAAATCAAATTCCGAGGTCCCGAGTCCGAGGACTGAATTTTTACGTGAAATTATTTTCTGAAAATAAGTAAAGAATAGGAAAGTGTTATTTGTTTAGAAGACTGTGCTGTTGGGTTCGTATTTTGGTTACGACGCCCGGCACAAGTCTTAAATGTGAGTTAAGCAATTGCTGTGAAGTTTGGCTAGATTTGGACGTCATTTGACGTGTTTTGAGCTAGAAGCAGTAAAATTTGATATTTCATGGAAATTGGAAGGAATCATGGGTCTTGAGGCCTAATTCGATGTTGTTTTGGCGATTTGATCGCACGGATGAGTCCGTAGGATGTTTTTGAGTTTATATGTATGTTCGGTTTGGAGCCCCGAGGGCTCGGGTGAGTTTTGAGTAGGTCCCGGGAGGTCTTAGGCTTAGAAGTGTCAGAAATTTTGCAGGTCCAGGTGTTACAGGCCCCCAGCGCGGCCGCGGTCATTTTCGCGCTGGAAGCCGCGCGGCCGCGGTGCATTTCTGCGTGGACCGCGTGGTTAGGTTCAGAGGGCCAGTAGTCCTAGGTCGCCTAGCGCGGCCGCGTGCCATATCAGCGCGGTCCCCGCTGGGAGATTCAGAGAGTGGGAATTTTGGTCCATTCCTCCAGCGCCGCCGCGCACCGAATCAGTGCGGTCCGCGCTGTGTAGGTTCAGAGAGTGGGTTCCCCCCCCCCTTCCTCGGCGCGGCCGCGGGGCATTTTTGTGCGGTCCGCGCCGGGTCTCCAGTTCAGTTTATAAAGTCGGGAGTTCCAGTTATTTTTCACTTTTTCAAAATCCAAAACATAAGAGGCGATTTTCCAAACGATTCTACTTCTTCAAAACGATTGGTAAGTGATTTCTAACTTATTTTCTTTACTCCTTAACATCTTTAGACATAATTTCAACTTCAAAACAAAGATTTTATTGGGGGAATTTGGGAATTTAGGGTAGAACTAGGGTTCCTAAATTTGGGGGTTTTGGACCTCAATTTGGGGTCCGATTCCAAAATAACGTATATATTTGAGTTCATGGGGGAATGGGTAGTCGGGTTTTGGTTCGAACCTCGGGTTTTGACCACGTGGGCCCGGGGGCATTTTGGGGATTTTTGAACAACCTTTGGGAAATTCACTTTTCATGCATTCAAATTTATTAGATTAGCCTTTGTTGATACACAAGTAATTTGTGACTAGATTCGAGCGGTTTGGTGGTGAATTCGAAGGGTAAAGCTATACTAGAGGATTGAGTTGAGTTTGGAGCATTTGAGGTAAGTGTTTGATCTAACTTTGGCTTGGAGGAATAGGATTAGAGTGTTATTATTTGCTAATTGCTAAATGATCGAGTACGGTGTATAGGCATGGTGACGAGTATCTATACGCCGGTGTCTAGCATGACCGTGGGTCCTTGTATGTACTTATCCTGATATTGTTATGACTCCTCCATGTTAATTGATGAATTTTATGCAATGTGAAGAGTATGAGAACTAATTTATGAATTGCAAATCCCTTGGAGCATTGGCCCGAACGATAAAAAGACTATTGAGTAAGAAATGAAAGAAAAAGAAAGGGATATGATTATATCCCTTGCCGGGATGGTTTGAGTATATTGATTATTTCCCTTGCCGGGATGTGAAAGTATTGTTGTTGCTCCCTTGCCGGGAGTTAGCTGTTAATAGTGTAATTCCCTTGCCGGGACAGTTCTCATTATTTGGTTATCCCCTCGCCCCGTTTGGTTGCGATTACTGTTTGGGTGAGGAAGAGTGATAATGCACGAAGGGTCATTCCGTGCCATGTTTTTATTATATTTGCACGAAGGGTCATTCCGTGCCACGTTTTGGTTATATTTGCACGAAGGATCATTCCGTGCCATGATATGAGAGTTACGTGAGGGAAAGCACGAAGGGTGATGCCGTGCACTTTATTTGATTGCTTTGGTGAGAATGAGAGTAAAAGCACGAAGGTTGATGCCGTGCAACTATTGATTGTCCTGCTCTCATTAATTATTGTTATTGCCTTGTTTCTTATTTAAATTGTTGACTTTATCTCCGGACTGTACTTTCCCATAGTATGCTTCCCTTCCTCTTAACTGTTAAACTTCTGTATTCTTTCCTTGTATTGCATATATATATACATTGAACTGCATAGGTTGATTTGGTAGTCCTGTCTAGCCTCGTCACTACTTCGCCGGGGTTAGGACTTACCAGCACATGGGGTCGGCTGTGCTGATGCTAAACTTCTTTGCTCTTTTGCACAGATCACGGTACCGGAGCAGCTTTTGGACCACAGCAGTAGGATATCGATCGGGAGCTGACTTCAGTCCAGGGACTTACGAGGTAGCCTAGCTGGCGTTCGCAGGCCGGAGTCCCTTTCTATGTTTCAGTTTGTTTCCATTGTACCAAGACAGACATTTATGTATTTCTATTCAGACTTGTTTGTAGCACTCTTTAGTAGTTCGTGAGATAGCGACTCCAGTCTTGGGTAGTGAAATATTAGACTTCCGCATTTTGGGTTTTCAGTTATTTATGTTTTAAAAAGACTTCCGCATTTATTTAAAGACTCGTCATTTTATTATTGTTATGTTGTTATCTGAAAAGGTTTAAATGTTTGGCTTGCCTAGCTCCAACAGTAGGCGCCATCACGACTCCCGGTGGGAAATCCGGGTCGTGACAGTTACAGTCGCTATAGCATGTCTAAAAAGGATTGTCACATTTATATACTATTTGAAACTCTTTAACTCTAAACTTCTTCTTGAACGGAAAAACCAGATGCTTTCATGGAGTACTTTGGCTTTAGGGATTTGCTTCATCATTAGCTCGCGCGCAAGCCCGCTCCCTTATGTTATGGAAGAATTGAGTTTATTGCTGGGCTGGTTATTCAGAGCCGATCACCCTAGTTTGGACTAAGCTCTATGCTCAATCAAACACCACCGAAACAAAAAGTGTGTACTACTATACTCCAGAGAGTGCAGAGAAGCAAGTTGTTACTTTCAGTCTCCTAATCCAGCAAGTCCAGTTGAAGTGTTAGTAATACTTGGCTTCCGGAAGTAAGTGTAGAAATGACACCAGGTAGCCACTCTAAATGACTGCTATTTAGAAATTAGCCAGTGCGTCCTGAATTTCAGTTTTTCAGTTTAATTTTTCAGGACAAAAATGCCATAAATTGTCCTGAAGTTAAGATTGTTAGTTTAAAATTTCAAAACTAAATAAGTACTGGCTAATCACCAAATAGCATCTTGCCCCTCGAGGAGTTACCCATTGGGCCTTTTAGCTCTTTGTGGTGACTGGTGAGTTTGTTTTGATTTGTTTTGGGATCTTCCAACGCATAAGAAACTAATAGGCTACCAAAATCTCATAAGAAATGGGCCATTTGGAAGAAATGGCTTGGTTCTAGATCATCATTTATACAAGACAGAGTGAAAGTTCATCCAAATTACTGCAGTATGGAATCGGCTCCAAAACTTAAGTCATTCGGGCTTATCAATTTGATGGAAAACTAGGCATCAGTACTATAGGCTGGGTATAAAATATCACTTTTAGCTCGCAGCCAAAACTATTTATATCCGGTATTCAGAAAAGTGTATATATATATAGACATGACTAGAAAGATGTAACGAAGTAATACTACTACTATGTGAAACTACAAGTTATGTTCGCCTATAAGTAGCTTATTACATAAATTAGTCATTCAAAAAATATTTCTAATATTAGCCCATTAGCTATTTGTAGAGAAAAAGGTTAGATTATTACTTTCTTATGAGTGAGTGTTACTAAAATAGATTAAGTATATCTTAAGGAGTTTGAATCTCAGTTTTGAGATGATTTTGGTGGAGTTTTGAGGTGGTTTGAATTGAAAATTCGAAGTAGAAGATGAACATGAAAAAAGATAATATGTTTCACGCTGTGTATCGCATATATATATCATATGTTTATCACATATATTATTCATGTATATCTGTATGTGAGATACATACGTGATACATGTGCCACTGAAAAAAATTTCAAACTCGAGTTTAACTACAAATTTTGATACCAAACTGGTCCAAATCACCTCTAGTCTTGCTTAAATTCTGTATGTTGTCTCATTTATATGTTTTCAATGAATTCCAATGATACCCATTGAAAAGAAAAATCCCTTTTTCCCTTATTTTAAAAATTTTATATCATTGATAATGAATTTTGACTCCAAACTAGTCTAACTTGCTTTCAAACTTCGTCAAATTTTGCATATTGCCTCATCTGTGTGATTTCAATGAATCGCAACAATACTCATTGAAAAAATCTTATTTTGCCTGAGTTTTTCGAATGTTGTATATCATTTGTATTTTTGGGCTATTTTTAGTAGCATGACTAAAATGACTAGTTGTTGGTAAATATTGTCTTTCTTTGGCACATTCCCTGTTACTACTTGTCTTGCTCATTTTCCTTTCGCCGAATCGTAGGAAAGTTTCCTTTCCCTCGGTTGTTTTATTTATCTTTCCTAGCTTAAAAAAGTGCTAATAGTCATGAGTCGAATGTGATCTATGAATCCAAATCAGAACCGAAAAGAAAATACCTTTAGTTTTAATAAAATTATTTTTATGTTGCAAATTGTACAGTAATTATTGGACACATGATTTAAGATAAGTGGTAGACATTTTACACTTGGTTCTTCAAGTTTGAAAACACAGCAAACATTGCAAAGTTGAGAACGGATTTGAATTACTGAAACATTTTTATTGAGCACATACAAGTAGTACATCTTATGGCACTTATGCCATGCATCTCTAAATTCACTACTAAATACACTAATATGAATCTAGCTTCTACTATATGTTACAATGCCAGGAGGCCATCATCAAAACTTTACATACTGCTACAAGATACAACGTTCCACGTAATATTAGTAGCAAAACATAGAGAACGGGTTGAAGAGTGAACAAGACAACGTGGTAAATACTCTTCGAAACGGGGGATTCAATTATATTTTGGTGTGATCCTTCAATTGCTCCATCTTGTTACTACCCTCATCTTTGCTTACAATTATCCCAACCAATTTGCAGGGTTGTGCATCTTCCAGCATTTTGACTACATTTCTCATTGTTGGCCTTAAAGATGGAAGCCTATCTGTGCAGACAATGGCAATTCTTAAGACTTTGATTGCATCTTCCTTAAAAGCTTCTGGGATACTTGAATCCACTATGCTCAACACACTCTCCTTGCTCTTCAATTTGCTGCTCACCCATGTTACTATGTTGCTATTCTCTCCATATTCTGGTTCTATTGGCCTTTTCCCAGATATTAGCTCCATCAACACCACCCCGAAACTATATACATCACTTTTCTCATTCACTTTGTGCGTGTATCCATATTCTGCAACACCAAAAACTCAAATAAGTCAAAAATGATACACGTTCAGAACCCCAATGACCAAAATCAATAGATAATCTACACTGGATTTAACTTATATATACTAACACGACTCCCTGTATTTTCCCAGATACCGTGTCATGATTATATGAAGAGTTAGCTATTGTTGTATGTCAATTTTACCTGATTGCGTAAAAGACGTATATAATGTACGTGTACAGGATTTAAACTCAATCTACATACACAAATTAACTAAAATGAACTATCTTACCAGGAGCAATATATCCATGTGTTCCTGCAATGACATGAGTTGAATCTTTGTTTGAATCAGCTTGTGCAATCTTAGCAAGACCAAAATCAGCAATTCTTGGCTTGAAAAGCTCATCCAACAAGATATTACTAGACTTAACATCCCTGTGAATGACTGGCTTATCACAACCATGGTGCAAATACTCCAATCCTTTGGCTGCACCAAGAGCTATCTCGTACCTCGTCTCCCAATCAAGTGGCATCTTCTTGCAAGTGTGCAATCGATCCCACAAGCTCCCATTTGGCATATATTCATAGACCAACAAGCTCGAGTCCTCACTTGTTATACTGCAATACAATTTCACAACATTCACATGTCGAATTGAGCTCAGTGTTTGAACCTCAGCCTCAAATTCTTTCGACTTCATCCCACGTTTTCCCAACATTGGTGATGTTGTTCCTGACATTTTCCTTCCTCCTGAATCAGAGGTCCAAATATGCTTTACAGCAAAATCTGTGCCATCAGCGAGCTGCACTCTGTATACACTCCCAGAACCACCTTTTCCAATCAAATTATCATGTTTAATTCCATCAAGAATCTCATCCTCTGTGAAAGTCAATATATGGAATGACTTTGTATTCCAAGAATGTTCTTTCAAAGACCTCTCATGTACTTTTTCGTTCTTCTTCTTCAAGTACATGAAACCCGCAAGTGAAAGGAGTGCAACAATCACAGCCACCAACAAACAAAGCAAAAGGGTGTGCAATTCTCTAGGCTTTCCAGATTCACCATAACATCGACGAAAATTCTTAATGTTTTGGCTACAAAGACCATCATTTCCAGAAAAGCTACCCTTATAAGCATCAATTGATAGAGAATCCGGTATTGGTCCAGTCAACTGATTGTTGGAAAAATCAAGAAGATTTAACTTCAGATGTGATAAACTTGTCGGAATCTGCCCCCTGAGCTGATTTTCCGACAAGTTTAATGAAGTTAAAGTCGGTAATGACCCCAAAGAAACAGGAATTGATCCAATAAGCGAATTATGAGCCATGTTAACCTCACTTAATGAAACACAAGAGCCTAAAGAATATGGTATGGAACCAGAAAACTTGTTCTTCTGTAAATAAAGATTACCAAGTTTCTTTAGCTCACCAATTGTCCCTGGAATTTCACCTGAAAACCGATTGTTACTACAATCAATTCTCACCAAAGAAGTAGCCTTTGAAATTTCCAAAGGCAACTCACCAGAAAATTTATTATTAGCAACATAAATTTCACCTAAAGATTTTGCATTTCCAATAGCAGAAGTAATCAAACCTTCAAAATTATTCATTGCAACATCAATTATTTGGAGTTTGGGCAACCCCCAAATTCCAGCTGGAATTACACCAGAAAGCGAATTCTTGCTCACTCGAAACCGCTCCAATGTTGTACAATTTGCATAACTTTCTGGAATTTTACCAGTGAAATTGTTTCTAAGTATCAATAATCCTCTCATTGTCCCCTGCTTACACATATCCGGTGGAATTGGACCAGTGAAATTATTCTCCGATATATCAATGAAATCAAAATTAGCCCAAGAACCCAACTTCTGTGGAAGTTGACCTGTTAACTTGTTAGTATACAAAGACACGTTCACAAGTTTTTTGAACTCTCCCAATTCCACTGGTACTTCCCCTGAAAATTCATTCTGCAATAGTTGCAAACTTACCAAATTATTTAACTCTCGAATTTCCGATAAATCACCGTACAGGTAATTAGTCGAAGCATCAAAATATTCGAGACTCGTTAAATTCCCGAATCCAACTGGCAACTTCCCTGTTAACTCGTTTTCATATAACTCAAGTTGCCATAATTTCATTAGCTTTGTAATTCCCAAAGGAATTTCACCAGTAAGATGATTCATTGACAGCTCTAAATTTATCAACTCCGTTAGATTTCCAATTCCTTCTGGAATTTCCCCTTCAAGCCCACAATTCGATAAGTACAACCACTTCAATTGATCAAGCTTCACAATCACCGCCGGAAACGGATTTCGATCAAATTGATTATCACCAAGGCTGAGTACAATCAATTTACTCATATTTGCAACAGAATTCCACGGAAATTTTCCTGAAAACCCACTGTTATTTGCGTAAAAATGGGTTAATTTACTAAGTGAAGATATATCAGGAAAAGTCCCTGTGAAATCATTATTCCCAACGTCCAAGTAATTCAAGCTAACACAATTGTTCAAGTCATCGGTTACACGTCCAGAGAGTGAGTTGAAACCCAAAGAGAGTTTTTCCAATGAGTTAAGAGAACATATTTTATCAGAAGGGACAAAACCAGATAGGCTTTGACTTGAGAGTTCGAGTTCTTTGACTGCTCCATTGGAACTGCATTTAATGCCAGTGAAGTTACAAAGAGGAGTATTGGGTTCCCAGTTTTTGAATATATTGGTTTTGGTTGCGGAGTTTGTTAAAGAGGATTTAATGGATAAAAGTGTTTGAAGCTCGTCGGAAAAAGCGACGGAGAAGAAAGGGAATATAGATAAGAAGATAAGTTCCGGCCGGCAATTCAATAGCGCCGCCATATTTGACAGAGGAGTTGACGTAGGAGAAGTTATGTTTCTGGCTAAGGAAAAACGTGTGAGAGACGACGACTATGGAGAGCGCCAGCTTTAACGAATTATAGGCGTTCACATTATATATCTTACTGTTTATATTTGTTTATTTATTTATTTTATTACTGTTTCTCCACTTGTAAGAATATGATTTTTGTTATGTCAGAAAATAAAGTAAAGGATTTTTCTTTCTTAAAAACCGGAAAATGCCGGTTAAGCATTTTGTGTTTTATGTTTTGAGAAAAAGAGTTGACATAAACTTGATATATGATACAAAATTTTCATATGAGTAACTTGTTTGACTTTTAAACTGCTTATAATCAGTTATTTAAAAGTTAATGTTACTTGACTAAAGCAGAAAAATGCAGCAATGTAATATGTAATGAAGGGAATAGTATTTTTTTTTTTTTTTTTTTTTGTGAAAATTCCCAAGAAAATCTATAGTCATTATATTTCGGGTGCGCACCGGTAACCTACTCACCGCAGTGATAGTTTGTGAATCATATAAAAGATGTACACCGTACTAGACAAACTCTGTGCTACGAACTTTGACTGTGAACAAAAGGATAGTAGTTGAAAAACTATCTTCCTTATGATGGTACCCAAAAGGGTAGAAAATAAAGAAATACATAGTGACTTCTTCAGTTTATGAAACTTATATTCAACTAGTACGAGTATCCCC